CCGGATTATTTATTATTAGGGGGGAGGGGGGCGGTGACGTCGTTTATTATTAGGGGGAAGAGATTAGCGCAATTTATTCTAGGTTCCTTAAAATCATAGGACCGTAGGACTACAATGGGCCGCCTGCATATGAATCCCCCCAAACTAAGACGGCCTAATCATCCAAGCATCTCCAGCTAAAAGCAAGACCTCCGTTTTGAGATAACGGGAGGAGTTGTCGGGCTGAAGCAGGGTCTACCTCACAACAAGCCTCATTTGGGGTGTAATACGGAGTTGCAGCGCCTGGGACGATGTAGGTGTCTCAGAACTGAGTGCGCTTGCTGAGGCTCTTAGAAGACGGTGTGAGATAAACTTCTGAATCCACCAAAAAAATCACAAACCAATGCTAATTGTTGGAGTGTCCAAATCCTGTTTGGAAGAACTCTTGTTAAAGCCCATGAGTTTGTTTGTTTGACCGACAGTTTCCCAATCAAGCTTGCATCTTCTGAAACCTAGCTCAATGCTCCCAGCCCCCTGTTGCTTTGAAATCAAGAGTTCATTAGACGTCCTGTTCCATGTGACAGAAGACTCGAGCTTGAATCGTGTGAACTTTCCTTTTCAAGGTCAATGTCGTATCTGGGACTACGTGCTCACTCCGCTGTGAGGCGGGTTGTCATATGCGCTGAGAGGGACAAACTCTTAACGCACTTCTTCGGTCTATAGTCTCCCTTAATTTGACAGAATATGGCTTTGGGTCTATTATAATAAGATTCCCATATATCCCATATTCTACTTAAGGGGGACTAAAGTGCAGGGGACACGTCAGCTTCTCAGAAGAAACCCCCGGAATGCCAACAAGGACCCCCAAAGTCCTCCACAAAATCCCAAGATACGCTTCGGCCTAGGGCACCCTTGTTTTCTGAAACCCCCTGCATCTAAAACAAGGGCATGCTTGCATGCGTCGGAATCCTCAAGATCCTCTCTGTCTTAGGGTTTTCAGGGTCTAGGGCTACTTCTGGTTAGGAGGGAATGATGTAAGAATGGACAAGAGAATGGAGACTATACTGTATTATTGGGGGAGTATAGGGACCGCTAGCAAGATCCGTACCTTCCTTTCTTGCAAACCAATGTCAAGATGGCGGGTCCCAGACGAAACACCCCGTTTCGAGACTTCACTCAGGGTGTTCCTCTGGGACTTAGGGGCCTCTGAGGATTACGATGGGATTATGGTGCTTGCTACTCAGGAGTCTACAGATCCCACATTGATGTTTTCTGCGGTGGAAGTGCTTGATGAGCAGTCGTTCCGACCCTGACAACCATACTATTCCAAGATCAGGCCTAGGTCCGACAACAGCCTAGACAGAACGCCCAGCCAGAAATTTCGGAAGAAAATTTGGGCAAGATTTTTCTACGCGTATATTCGTACACAGAGTACATACACGTATCCAATTGTCGAAGCAGCCTATGAAATAAGGTTAAATACAGGGGTGCGTCTTGTGATCACGCTTCCAGGTTCACTGTACAAGCTGCTCAGTGTACACGAGAGCGCACTTTCTTCGTGTCCCATGTTCGTGGTGTCCTGCCATGCATGGGGAGTGCCTTGAATCCTCCAAACCGCCCAAACCCAAACCCCAAATCGCGCGGAACCCCCAACCCCAGACCCCGAAGAATAGACCTTGAAGCTTGAACTGTCAGCCAGGTAATTCGTAGCTTGCAGATACCAAGAGCTCACGTAATGCCTTTCATCCAATCCACACATGGAGATGATGCTGGTTCATTCCCCCACCTCCATATGGTCCATATGTACTATAGTCTACACTCCTTAAAGGGGGGTTATATAGGGGGTTATATAGGGGACTACTACAGGGGTTAGTAAGGGGGATACTAGGAGTTTAGATTATAGCTCATATACTCACCACTACCGCTTCTTACAAAAACTCCTTCCACAACCACTAGCAGAGGCCGGCTATGCAAAGACTGGTGACCCTGTCGGTGCCTTAACATCATCAGTGACTGCTTAGTATGTGGGGACACATGCTGGGCTTCTGTTTCGTGGTGAGGGTGACTGTTTGCTGGGGTATAGGGTGGACCCCAAAGATTTGTCCATTAGACACGTGTTAGAAAGCGCGTGCGTATTTGGGAGCTTCAAAATAATCACAAGAAAAATATACAATTCCTAACAAGGACCTCCGATGATCCCCTCATGATCCCTAGATTAATCTCTAGGGTCCCGAAGGGGCCCCTAATTTGAGAAGACCCCTAGTCATTTTGGGAAAGGGGCCGACGGCCTCCGTGTTCGGGGTGTGCCTAAGGGGTGCTACAGAAGCGAGTTTCTGCAAGGGGGGGCCCTTAGGAAAGCAAGGGTTGCGCCGCAAGTTCGGGGGGAATTCCAGGGGCCCTTTGAGGCACTATTCCGGTTCTATTGGGCTTAGTTTAGGAGTTTGTAGGGTGTACAGACGGTCCATGGGGTTTCTTATCCGGGATTTCATAGGATTCATATTGCCGGCCCTAAGCCCTGAAGCCTAAACCCTGAACCCTAGACCCCACAACCCAAACCCCATACCCTAAATAGTAGTTTCCATGTTCTTTTCCATTGTTCTTTTCCATTGTCCCTATGTATTGCCCCTATATCCCCCAAACCCAAACCCTCAACTCCCAAGTGATTCTGAAAGATTTAGGATTTCGAAGGGTCTGTGGAGCCTGTAGGGCTTGGGATTCCGAAGGTAAAAGGGTGCTTAGGGTTTGGGGTTCAGGGTTGAGGTTTTGGGATTTAGGGTTCTGGTATTAATGCGTAGGGTTCAGGTTTGAGGGTTTCTAGGGTTGAGGTTTTAGGGCTGAGGGTTCAGGCTTTAGGGTTGACACGTTGAGGGTTCAGGTTTTAGGGTTAAAGGTTTCAGGTCTTAGGGTTTAGGGTTTAGGGGTTTAGGGTTTAGGGTTTAGGGGTTTAGGGTTTAGGGTCTAGGGCTTTGGTCTCCAACGTTGTACACGCAGGATGCGCTTCTAAGATTTATTGACGCTCAGGCCGTCACGCGTACTCCTTGCTTGCGCCAGACCAAAATAGGTCTAAACCCTAACCCCCAAACCCCGAAACCCCTAAACCCTAAACCCGACACTCAAGCCTCAGTCCTAAACTCCCCCAACCCTTACTGTAAGGCCCTAAGGCCGTAAGACTCTACCCTGTAATTGGTATGCTACCAGAACCCTTCAAAGGGAACCCTAATCACTTGGCCCTCAACATTAACCCAGTAAACCTTAGAAACCCAAATCCTTACCCCCAAGCCCTAAGCCCTATATGTCCCCAAATATTCCCTATAGTCCCACTATAGAAATCCCTGCATACCCTTGGCCTCTGAGCCCACCCTAATCCCCAAAGCCTAAACCCCCAAAACCCTAAACCCCCAAAACCCTAAACCCTAAAACCTTAAACCCTTAACCCTCAACCCCAACAAACCCTAAAGCCAACAAAAACCCTGAACCCCAAGATCCCTTAGCCCCAAAGATCCAAAAGCACTAAACCCTAAACTCCCCAAACACCCTGAACCCTACATACTCCCATCCAATCCCATCATCCGAAGGTCTGCGAGCGAGGTGTTTGGACCGTGGAGCGCTGCATGGCGCCCTGCGCGGCACCTGTGGCATGGGGGCCCAGGGTTCAGGGTTTAGGATTTAGGGTTCATATACGTGCCCCAGAGGGCTTTTTGGCTTATTAAAATTACGGGTTTAGGGGGTTTAGGGCGTTAAGGTCTAGGGTGTAAGGTTTATTACCATTACTTAGTTTTTTAGGGTTGTATTTTGAGCTTAACAATTTGAACCCTAAGTAGTGGTAAGTTATATGGACTTGAGGGTTTAGGGATAAGGAATCATGGCTTGGGGATTTGGGTTTAGGGTTTTGGATTTATGATTTAGGGTCTAGGGTTTAGGGTATAGAGGGACTAGGGTTTGGCGTAGGGACTAGGGGGACAGGGTTAGGGGTTTGGGTTTTGGGTTTCAGGGTTTTGTATATAGGAGGTTGGAAGGTCTGGGTTTATGGGTTGGGCGGCGACAGTTAGGGATTCGGCCTTGGAATGTAAGATACGAGGCTTGGATTGAGAGCTCAGGGTTTTAGGATTTGAGGGCTTACCTTAGAACCCCATAGAGGCCGTTTTGCAAGTACAGAGGTCTTTGTTGGATTCGTTCGGGAGGTTCCACGTTAGCCATGGCCCTGGCCGAACGGATCGCAGTTTGTTTCAGTTCAGTTTAAGGGGAACATAGCGTTTAGGGTTATAGGGCTTATCAGGGACAAGGCTTTAGGG